GGGAGGCCCCCCGCCGCCACCACCGGCTCCCGGGTCTTTGCCAGAGCTAATGGTTTAGAAGCTTCAGGAGCCCGTGAGTCTCCCTCCCCCTCCCTTATCTTTCCAGCTTTAATTCTCTGCGTTTCTGTAATAAGTGAATGCTGCATTGTTCTTTCCTTCATCATGCGTCCATTTTCGAGACGGGGTCTCGCTGGTGCCCCGGCTGGCCTCACTGCTGGCCTCAGTGACCTGCCTACGCCTCCCAAAGTTCTGGGACTATAGGCACAAGCCACAGCACCAGCCCAGCCTTGTAGTTTGGAGCAGCCTCGGGTCCTGGGGTTACTCCAGTCCTGAGCAAACCATTTGAGGCTTAGGGGTTACCCAGGGATTCTCAGCAGACCCCAGCTCACATTAGGGTGGGGGCAGGGAACAGGCCCCGGGCCAGGCCCTTGTCAGCAGGTGGCAGAGCCCCTGGCTGTGTGGAGCCTTCTTACTGACTCCCTCCCATCGCTGGATGGAAAAGGGGAGCCCCCCAGGAGGGCAGGTCTCCAGGCTGGTCCATGAGAAGCGAGGCTGGCGGGGTGGTGGGGACCTGGCGAGGGGGTGCCACCTGCCTGCCTCTGGGTGCCTGCTCACCTGTGGATGGTCGAGGCAGGTCTGCCCTCGCCAGGCCTTCCCATTCTTCAGGCTACCGTGGACACTTGCAGGTGTGTGCACAGTCTCCTGACCTGTACACGGCAAGTGACGCAGGTCTCTGGCCGGCCGGCGTCCAGCCCCTCAGCAGGCTGACTGGGTTACCAGTTCGTTCCCTCCAGCCTCACACCGAGCCCCGGCCCGGGATTCCAGCCTCTTCTGGGGGCCTGGCCGGCTCTCAGGCGCGGGTCCGTTCATCATGTCCCCGTGTGTCCTCTCCTGCAGTGCCTCCAGTCCCTGTGTGACCTGCGCCTTTCCCCTCACTTCCCCCACACGGCAGCCCTGGACCAGGCGGTGGGGGCCGCAGTGGCCAGCATGGGGCCCGAAGTGGTACTCCAGGCCGTGCCCTTGGAGATCGATGGCTCTGAGTAAGTGCGCCCTGCGGGGAGAGTCAGCGCCTCGTGCTCCCCGGGAAGGGGCGTCTGCCCCTTCGGGCTGAAGTCTGCTATGCGGGGGTCGGTGGGGGGCAGAGGATGCTCCCACTGCCCCTCAGGGCCCCAGGGACCACGCCCTCCTCCTCACCGGGTCCTGGACTCCCTCCTACCAGAGAAACTCTGGATTTCCCACGGAGCTGGCTGCTGCCTGTAATCCGGGACCATGTCCAGGAAACGCGGCTTGGCTTCTTCACCACCTACTTCTTGCCCTTGGCTAACACCCTGAAGAGCAAAGGTATGTGCTTCTCGCCTGTGCGTGACCCGGCCCCGTGGTCCTGGGCCTCGGCAGAAGGGGCTGGAGGGGCTCTGAGTCCAGCCCTGACGCCGTGAGGATGTTCAGCAGCCCCTCTGCGAGGCGGTGGCCCACCAGCACTTGCGTGCCCCGGGGCACGACTGGTAGTCCCTCCTGCCACAGTTCTGCCAGCAGACGCTGGCCCCACACGGAGCCCCCACGCCTTGACCTTGCTCTTCCCTCTGGGCCACCAAGAGTGGCGGTGCCTCTACTTTTTTTTTTTTTTTTTTTGAGTTGGAGTCTCACTCTGTCGCCCAAACTGGAGTGCAGTGGCCGCTCCCGGCCACCGCAGCCTCGACCTGCTGGGCTCCAGCGATCCTTCCACCTCAGCCTTCCGAGTAGTTGGAACTACAGGCGCGCACTACCACGCCCGGCTGATTTTTTGATTTATTGTAGAGATGAGGTCTCACCAAGTTGCCCAGGCGGGTCTCGAACCCACGGGTTCAGGCAATCCACTCACCTCAGCCTCCCAAAGTGCTGGGATTACAGGCTGAGCCACCGAGCCCGGCCAGCCTCTACTTTTTATATATACCTAGAGGTGCGATTATGTGTACATACAGTGTGTATATACTCATCTGTACACGTGTACACCACGTGACATTTCAGTCAGCGATGGTGGTCCCAGGAGATTACAATACTGTCTTCTTACTGTACCTTTTCTGTGTTTAGATACGTTTAGATGCACAAACACCTACTGCTGTGTTACAGTTGCCTGCAGTGTTCAGTTAGTCATTTGTATAGCCCAGGAGCCGTAGGCTAGACAATACAGCTCAGGTGTATAGGAGGCTAGACCATCTGGGGGTGTGAGCACGCTCAGCCATGCTCGCACAACAAAATGGCCTGACGATGCTCTTCTCAGAGCACGTCCCGGCCAGTGTCATGGGGCTGCATGGGTGTGTTTGGAGATGACGACTGCTCCCTGAGGTTTTCTCCCCGCAGGCTGCCTGTCCCCGTCCCCGTCCCTCACCCTCTTCCTTGAGGCACGCTGTCTGATCCTGTCATGGTCTTGGTCTGTCTTGGCTTTCCCTTCTGGTTTGCCATGCCCCGTGGTGCTAGGCAGACTCGGGCCTGCATGAGGGGTGGCAGAGCACAGGGTCACGCTTCTTGGCCTCGTGATGGTTCCCGAGATTTGGTCTTCATTGGAGTTTGAGGATCTAGCTGTCCTACCCATGGCCTGTTTTGTTTGTTTGTTTGTTGTTTGTTTTTGAGTTGGAGTCTCACTCTGTCGCCCAGACTGGAGTGCAGTGGCTGCTCCCGGCCACCGCAGCCTCGACCCGCTGGGCTCCGGCGATCTTCCCACCTCAGCCTTCCAAGTAGCTGGAACTACAGGCGCGCGCTAGCACGCCTGGCTAATTTTTTGATTTATTGTAGAGATGAGGTCTCGCCTGCCCAGGCGGGTCTCGAACCTGCGGGCTCAGGCAATCCACTAACCTCAGCCTCCCAAAGGCGAGGGATTACAGGCTGAGCCACCGAGCCTGGCGACCTGATTTAATATACAGAGTTTCATTGCGACACAGCCATGTTTGACCTTTCACATCCTGTCTGCCCTACTCTTTTTTTTCTTTTTGAGTCAGAGTTTTACTCTGTCATCCAGGTTGGAGTGCAGTAGCATGCTCATGGCCACCCCAGCATCAACCTGCTGGGCTCTGGTGATCCTTCTGCCTAAGCCTTCTAAGTAGCTCGAACTACAGACCCACGCCACCACGCCCAGCTAGTTTTTATGATTTATTGTAGAGATGAGGTCTCACCAAGTTGCCCACGCTGGTCTTGAACCCCTGGACTCAGGCAATCCTCTCACCTTGGCCTTCCAAAGTCCTGGAATTACAGTCTGAGACACCATGCCCAGCCGACTTTACGTTTTTTTTATGTATTTGTTACTTGCCTTAAAATTTTTTTCCTGGCTGGGCTCATTGGCTCAGCCTATAATCCCAGCACTTTCGAAGGCCAAGAAAGTGGATTGCCTGAGCCCACGGGTTTGAGACCCGCCTGGGCAACTTGGTGAGATCTTGTCTCTACAATAAATAAAAAATTAGCCAGGTGTGGTAGCACTGGCCTGTGGTTCTGGCTACTTGGAAGGTTGAGGCAGAAGGATCGCCGGAGCCCAGCAGGTC